AAAGAATTATTAGAAGAAATCGATTATAAAAAATAACTAATAACTTTCCATCTCAACAGACTAGAAAAATAGACTTCAAATAAAAAATATTATATATATTAAAATTTAGACCCCAATTAAACGCTCGATTAGGCCACTCATTCGCTTGAGCCGACCCGGATAAACCACTAGCGGAGACTAAAATAACCCAAACAAATTCACAACTACTTTTTTTGGAGGGAGCTGCTTTAGGTTTCATTTCACAAATGCAACTCTAATAATAACTAGCAGAACTAAACTAAATAGTAAGACACACAAACCACACAGATCTGTTCACAATTTTCATCAAACAGAGCAGTTCATCCAGACCAGAAACCAAAGCATTTTAACAAAAAATAGAAACTTATGAACAATTATCATAATAACAAATAATTATTGATCACATAGAATGTGGCGGTGCAAATGCATAATAAATAACAAAAAAAATAGTTGTTTCTACTAATTTTTGAAGTTAATGTTGAAAAAACAAGTAAGCAACTCAACAGTTACAATATGAAGCAGATCATTAACTAAAAAAACACAATATGAAGTACCTGAAATTGAAATGGAAGTTGCAGAAGATTAGTGCGGAGATATTGAGTAATCAATAGAGGAGATCAGTTTGGTACTTTGGTTTAGAAGAGAAGGAAAGAATATTTTGAGCGAAAGTTACTTGTGATGGGACCCCTATTTTAATTGCAATCAACTCCCTCATATTTTGTAAATGATACAACTTAACCTCTCAGCTCTTTTTTTTTATTTTACTTTTTTCACTCTTTTCAATTATATATGGATTAAATTAAAATTCACTAAAATGACAAAGATAATCCCACAATTCAGAACATTAATCTCATACTATATATTCTATGAATTATAATTTAAAATAATATTTTCATTTACTACGAAATACTATTACATTATAATGAGCTAAATACATTAAAAATGCCAAAATTATTTACATTATCAAATATATTTATTTGAATATATATGAAACGTTTGATGTATATATATATATATTTTTTTTAAAGGAAAATGTACAATAAATCCCTAAACTTATTTAAAATAGGTTAATTTATCATTATGTTTTTTGGTCAAAAATAATTTCAGTTTTATATTATTAAGTTCAAAATAACTATTATTATTAACGGATATTTTAAAACAAAAGAAAAATAGACAAATTTATCCTTTGAACTATTCGAAATAGGCAGGTGGACGGGGTCTTTTGTTTTCTTATATATTAGGTGTATGAATTTTTATTTCTAAACATGATATCACATATCTTACTTACATGACTATTTGAAATTATTTTCTGAATTAATAAAATAAATCTGTTTCACGGATTCTAAAATTGATATAATTAAATTCTATTATAATTTGATATGTCATCACAAGTTACCGTCGAAGACTAGTGATGTGATGGTTATGGAAAAAAAAAAGAGCAGTAGAATAATTATTTAATTGGAGAATTAACACAAGTAATTAAACTTTATATAAAGCATAAAATTGACATCTAAAATAGTCAAATTCATCTCACAAACTACAATATAAACATTTGCTGAAGTCTTTACAATTAAGAGCATTTGGGACAAAATTAGATCATT